CAACAATTGCATCAGGCCAGCAAGTGATATTAAATAAGTCCATAACTTGTGATCGGTCAATCACTGTCATAGTCTTCAATTAAGAGGTCTTCCTCATCCAAAAGGGCTTCAGAGCTTGCAGGCTGGGGCTGGCTGGCAGAAAGTTCTCCGGGAGGATCCTGGCTATTTGACAAGTTGGACTCAGTTGTGGCATTCCCTGGTGTAGTACCTGGTTCAAGGTGCTGAGCAGCAGAAGATTCTTCATTTTCGCTGTCAGCATCTAAAATGCCTGGGTCTTTGTCACCAAGTGCTTCAAGTCTCAACCTGCAAATAAAGCCATTTATTAAACCATTTCAATAATATTTTAGACATTTCAAATGCAACAACACTTCAAAGTTTTGTTTACCTTACCTTCCAGGAACCCTCTTTTGCGAAAGATGTCCAACATTCTGGATAAAGGCTATTTGAGCTGATATGACAAATATAAAAAATATATTAAATCACTTATAGAAAAAATTAAAAAGTATGAAGAGAAATGCCCCACAATTTGAAAACTCTTGCATGCTGGAGGAGGCAGGAAAATAATAAACATATTTAACTTTAAAGATTATGCTATGCAGTCTGATTCAATTTGAACATTTAATTGTATATTTTGCAGATGCCAAGGTCACATGTTCACCTTGATTTCTCATTGGGTTGGTGAGCTTTGCAAGGTAAGGCACCAGTTCTGTCAGGAGGCTCACAGGGGTGAGGCAGAAATTTAAGAAGAGCGACTGTGCGGTCAGGTAATTCTCTCGATACTATCACAAAATTAAAAGTTAAAATATATAAACATTTAATAAATTCAACAATTCTTTAAAATGCTGAATAATGTAAATGCACCAAAGTAAAAAAAATATATATATACCGTCTTATTTATGTGAAGCCAATGCGGTTTATGAAGAGGCCTGAAACCGGCAGTGGACTGGCTGTTGGCTTTTGCTCGAGAAGAGTTTGAGTGCATAAGGCCTCTAGTTGCCACTGATGAGCCGTATTCCAACATAGTCGACCTTGACTGTGAAAAGAGGAACACCAGAAAAACAAAACAGTTGTTGCGAAGATACTACATGATGATAGTCCTCTGGGTTTAAATGTGCAGTACAATCAGAGTAACTCGACATATCCCTATGTGTGTTGTTATGGAAGTCTGACAGCATTTGCACTCACACTCCACTCTGCTGTCAGGAAGTCAGCATCAGAGAGGTACTCGCTGGCCCGTGCTATATCCTCCACATCCGAAAAGAAGTCAGGGTAGTTCTGATGCAGGTAAAGGTTGAAGAATTCACCTGACATATGAGAACGCTCAATGACAAGCTGAGGAAAATATTATAAATCAGAAGATTGTTAGAACATTAAAGAAATTTTAAAAAATAAAATTGTAACATGTAATATATATTAATATTTACTTCTGGATCAACAAGCAATTTGTCCCTCTGATGATCTGTTAAATGTGGAGGCAGTTTGGGTGCTTGAGAGCTGTCATAGCTTTCACCTAAAAATCATATGCCATCCGTTTGTATAAATATGAATGAATTTACATGCAGTTCATCATGTACATTATAACACAGTCATCATAGAATAACATTTCAGCAAGAAAGTTTCAAAAATAGGAGTGAAATGGACTAACGTTTGCAGTAGAGGATTTTCCCTAAAGCTCTGAAAAGGAAGAGTGAAGCATCTTTCCCCCCAATAGCTGGGCTTTCAACCTGCATGTCTGTTGATTTTGAAGACTTGCTCCTCCCCTTTGCCCTTACAGCAGGTTTTGCTGAAGAGGACTTGCCTTTCTTAGAAGCCCAGAGTCTCCTCTCTAGACTATTGTCTGAAAATTGAAATGAATGAGTGCATAATTTAAAAAATCTTTATTTTATAAATCCTATACCATAATAACATATTATATAAAACTGTTGGTCAGTAAAGCTTTACTTACCAATAAATGAAGAAAACTGCAAACTGTTGATGGCGCTGCGAATATCTCCTGAGCTTCCTGAGCAGAGAAGATCTAGAGCAGCTTTATCAGGAACAGAGATCCTGCCTGAACTCTGCAAAGACCGTTTAGATAAGAAAATGCTGAGACAACAACGGGGGATTTCAGAGTCATAAATATCTGCTTACCAGGCATATATATATATATATATATATATATATATATATATATATATATATATATATATATAGAAAAACAAACCACACAACCTACCTTTCCCACTTCAATGGTCACAATACGGCTTAGGACCTTCATCATACTGGTGGGGGCCACAGGGTTAAAACTTAAAGAGAGAAATAATTAGCTAAACAGGACCCAGGACGGGATACTTTTACATATTTCAAGTCTTATTGAAGGTACAGAGTAAATGATATTTTACCTGACGACCTTGGGTTTGAAAACTTTTAAGTAAAGATTTTATGATTTTTTTTTATTTGTACCTAATGTTGTGAATTTCGAGTTCATGCAGAACATCCTTGAAGAGATGCCTGGAGTTCTTGTCCCCACTGAGGCTATCGGACACAATCAGGACCAATGGACACCGGCTAGTCTTTATAAATTGCCTGAAAGAGCAAGGAAAATTGCATGAAAGACACCAGTGACATCTTGCTATTAAAATACTTCAATATAGTACTTGTGCCCACCTGAGTATATCATGCAAGCACACTGGTTGCCTATAGAACTGGTTTGGGAATTCCTGAAAAAAGAAAAGAACCAATGAGAAATTGTCATTCAACTTCTATTTTTTTATTTTCATCCCATTTTTGCTCATTTAATCACAATTCTTGTGAAAGTAAAATTCTTTGTTTTTACTTGCTAAGTGCTTTCTATTTTCTAAAATGTATTTTAGCTTTATGTCTGCATTTTATGTGCACAAACAAATAAAGCTAAATATTCAACATCATAGTAATATTTTTGAAGAGCAGTTCTGTGCAGCACCTCTATAAGAATTATTTTCCTGTCTTCAGTGAGTTTCTCTCCGCTCATTTGTAGACGGTTGTATTTGTTGGCTCTTAGCAGGAACTCTTGGAATAATCCTGTTTGTGAGCTGCCATGGAAACTGTTAAACCTTGAATCTGTTGGAATAAAAAGGTCATATGAACAAGCTGGCAAAAACAGAGAGACTGAGATATAACTATCTATAAATGATTCTGCTATATGTTAAAAATAGGGTTGCTAAATAATTCCCATTCACTAGACATGATGCATGGTTTCACTACATGTACACTAGTCATTACTAGTAAGAAGAAAAGACTCCTGACCTGGATCAAAGCTTTGTGTGAACAAATCTTCCATTTTGTACTGAGAGGTGGTGGAGGGATTTGACCATTCTTGAATATGATAACCCAAATCCTTGGCAAGAACTTGAACAGTAGCTGTCTTCCCACATCCCGAGGGGCCAGTGAGCAAAAGAATGGCGCCACCCTGTGGAGATATAACAACAAATACAACATAAAAAACATGAAATTAAATATAAAAAGGCAATTTAATATTAAATATATCCAAGTGATTAAAACATACATCACACAACATGCATGTCATATTTTTTCAGACCTTTTTTGATTTGTCCAAATGAACTCTCAACCAGCTTTCAACTTCTTCGACTTTCTTTTTGTGGACTGCCAATTCAGCCTATCAGAGAGAAAGAAGCCTTTTAAGCAATAATGCTTGTAAATTGAGATAACCAAAACAATATGAAATGGTTAAGTAGCAGATAAACATGTATTCTCAGAGTGAAATAGTTTGTGTGACCTAGACTAGAGAAACTTTTTTTTTATAAACTTAAGTTATATTAAGTTTAGCTTTACTTCAAACACACAGCTAGGTGTGTTAGAAAGGGGATGGAACTAAACTGCAGAAAAGTAGATTTCCTAAATCTGTACTGAGCACCCCTGAGATGCACAATTTCTGTACCTGTGATTGGGGTGCATGCAGATCCACCCAGGGCTCATCCTGGTCTAGTTTATATGCTTCACTTGACACACTGATCTGGTTGTTGGACACATGAGGATCTACTTTCCTCTTCCTCGATTGTTTCTCTGTTTGGTCCCCAGTTGATGGCCACCTGGTAGTTTTGCTTTCCCCTGAGAGTGGACCCTTTTTCAGTGTCCTATTCACTCCTCCCAAAAGTTCACCAAATGATGGTTCAACCCAGTTGTTTTTCTTAACAGGAAATAACAACAGAACACATATAATACACACCAGTATCAGTAGATTTAGAGCATCTACATCCCTTCTCAGTGTGCAGATTAAAATCTGAAGAACGTAAAACATTCAGCTTTTGGGGATATTAAGAATCGAGAACTTTCATGTAGGTTACATACTTTTCCAGAGGACTGCTTTCCTCCCAGAGACAGTTTTGACATCATCAACTCTGACGTCCTATTCAGTTACTCCATGCAAAATTGCGCTGGGATGAAATTGAAAACCAAATAATTCACATAATATATAAAACAGCATGATGATGTGATTTAGGCTAACTCTGTAGGCTTAAATGAGAATACGAGCGTGGTAAATGTTGACTTTCATCTATCTATAAACTCAAGGGGAACAGAAAGCACTCTTCAAATAGACAAATTGCTTCATTCTAATCTCTTATTTAATAAAAGCTTTGTCGGGCATTTTGACTAAACTTACTAGTCAAGTTCAGAAAGTTCGCTTCTGACCGTTAGCTTGATATTACGAATGCTAGCAATCATTGTCAAGTTATCGGGCCAAACAACAGAATCGTAGCTGACACACTGTTTAGGCAGTACATTTCAAACTCACCCTGGTCATTTCTACAGATGATTTTTGTAGTATAACAATGTCGACTATTCGCTGTTGCAAGTAACAAGTAACATCGCGCTAACTATCCCTTTAAAGCTGTGGTGAACCGCCCCTCCGCTGGCGCACGATGATTGCGTCATCAACTACGCTCCAAAAATTTGAACACGTTTTTATGTTGATCTATGTTAGCCACATAAGAAGATATGACCAACGCATTAACTGAATATCACATGTTTTTGTTTGCTTATTGATACTGAATCTCCGGTTGATATTTGTGTAAAAACGATTTGTGATATTAATTACATTTTTCCACGTGTGATACCTTGCAATGAGAATCATGAAGAGACCAAACATTCTTCTCACAGGTAGTCTGCCTTAACATTTCTCTTGGTAATTATACAAAAGTATAGACGTATGTTATAAATAAACGAATACGCGACTGCAAGTTGTGTGTTTTAAAAGAAACGACATGGTGATGATGTGTTGGAGTGTTCCCTGTCATTCAAACGTAATTGGGATGTATGGTGGGTATAAAATGTAACGTTATGTAAACATTGCTATGCTTCCTCATGAATTGACAGGGACCCCTGGGGTAGGAAAGACCACTCTAGGCAAAGAGTTGGCTCAGAGAACAGGACTAACCTATGTCAATGTTGGGGATTTGGCACAGGAGGGTAAGTTGCTCTTCATTGCAGTCAAATTTTGTTGTTCATATTTTAAAAATGTGGATTTTTTTTTCCTTTGCGACTTTTTGCTAGTCTCTACATTTGTATTTTCTATTCAGGTCAGTTGTTCGATGGATTTGATGAAGAATACCAGTGCCCTATATTGGATGAGGACAGGGTATGTACTGCTGTAATGGATCTTATTGGCATGTTTTAGTTTAGTAGTTCCCCTTTATTTGGATGATTTATATTCACAGAATTTGTTTAACTCAGTCTTGAACAAAATGTATTTTATTACGTTCTATTAAATACGTGTAAGGTATTCAGCCGGTTATTGAAACCACACTGGTCACCATTCAAAAGCAAATCCATTATGCTGCAAATAATATACCAAATGTAAAGATAATTTTAATATTCTAGGTTGTGGATGAACTGGAGGACAAAATGGGAGATGGAGGCGTAATAATTGATTACCATGGCTGTGATTTCTTTCCTGAACGCTGGTTTCAAATTGTTTTTGTCCTCCGCACAGACAACACCAATCTCTACAATCGTCTTGAAAGCAGGTTTGTGTTTAGTACAGTGGATTACAATAACATTTATAGCATGTAATACTTTGATTTGTGGCACTTTTGACTACTTGAAATCTTGAAAATAGATTGGGATAGGGTTGAGCAAAACAGGGAAATTCTGTAACGCAAAGAAACAATTTTAACATTTCAACACTATAAATGAGTAAAGGCATTTTGAATCATCCTAAGGGGCAGAAGACTTCCCCTGATTGAAGAATCACCCATATAGCATATTCAGTCTTTGTGATTAAGAGCCAAATGTATAGTTGAGAAATCTGTTTAAATACTGTGTGGCTGTATGCTTCCTGTTGCAGTGATTTAGCTTCATATCTTTCATATTCAGAGGGTACATAGGAAAGAAACTCCAGGACAATGTGCAGTGTGAGATCTTCCAGACTATCTTTGAGGAAGCCATGGAAGCCTACAAGGAGGAGATAGTCCACCAGCTCCCCAGTAATACTCCTGAGGACCTGGAGAGGAATCTGGATCAAATTGTTCAGTGGATTGAACAATGGATGAAAGACAACAATTGACATGGGACATTATATGTGAAAAGCTCAAGCACTTTTGAGTTCATGTCAAAGTAGATAGACATCACATTTCATAGTTAGTGTGGCCCCAGACAGAGTATGGTTCTATTCACTAAGCACTAAAAATGTGTGAGGCTGTTAATAATTACTCTATTTGAAATAAGTTAAACACAATTCCAAAATGAATGGAAGAAATAAATATTTTTATATTGGGTAACTTTATTTGTCTTGGTCTGCCTTGATAAATGATCAAAGATGAATTAAAATTCTTTGATAAATGATCTATTATTGTTTAGCTGCCACCAAATACCAGCAACATTTTACATCTGTTAGTAATTGGTAGGATCAACTCTTACTCACAAAAAATAATGCTAAATTGCATGGGTGTTTCTCCTCAAAAGATGATCATATGGTTCATAAGTACATAATAAGTTTATACTTAACATAATTAGATTAAATTGGGTATTTTTTTTTTTCTAAAACTGAGAAAGGAATCTAGCTAAGTGTTGTTTACAGCAGGACAAATTCACTCATGATGTAGAGTCTGTTTTATTCACTTTAATCAGTCCTTTCAAATTGCCATTTCTATTTTTGCTATAATCTTTTTTGTTGTTGTTGTTGCTTTTATTCCCCTCTTGATGTTCTGTCAATAATCAAACTAACTACTTCTAAAATTGCTAAAATTCATTCTTGGATCATCGAGTCCATCTGGCATATTTTCAAGTGCAGGAATAATAATAAAACGTAAGAATGGAGAAAAAAGATTTCTGTTGCTTCAGTCCATATATCTAGACTATAAAGCTTTAGTCCAGTGCTGTTGCAATTGATGGCTGAAGGTTTTTATGTTGCAGCTTGGTTTCTTTTCAGTGATCGTATTAGTAAAAAATGACTGCAAACCAATTTACTAATTAAATGGTAATTGGAGTAAAACAGTCACATGAATGAAATTCAGTGAGTAGTGAACAGTGAGTAGGTTCACAAGGAATGTAACATTTTGATATGTTGGGCTGTTGTGTTTTGCCTAATCAACTACAGTATGTTTAGCAAGATGTTTAAGTTCATTCCAAAATAAACAATTTTAAGCTGTTTTGTTCTTTATGAATTCTTACTTTTTTATAAGTAGCTTAGTGACCGTTGTCACCTTTTGTACATACACAGTGCCATCCTGCAAAAAAAAACAACCTACACAATGTGTCGATAGTTAAACTTTTTTTTTTCTTTTCCTCATTTGTGTGTGTACATAGATTGTTTTCTTGTCAAACTAGAAAACTTGGTTTCTATTGTGACATCACACATTGGGGCTGGACAAGTCACGTGATCGATCCCCCTTCACCTGTAGCACCACTGGCGGAAGACAGGTGAAAGTATCGATAACAGGTATGAGACCGATGTTTTTTCTTAAATATGTGTTTTAGACGAAAATATGTAGCTTGTAGTCTCATGTTTAATGTAGACAATTATAATTATAACTCGCAGTAAGAAATTGGTGTATTCCTTTTTATGCTTATTTGGATGACTTTAGAGCCGAGGTGTAGCCTGTATGCGTTCGTTCCGTTTCATTTCTTTCCTGTTCTTTGTTGACTGGCAGGTTTCAAACCTCGCAAAGATCATGTAGCTGTTCTATCGTCACCATAAAGTCATTTTTGCTACATTTTTATTTCTCTACGTTTGAGCCCTGCTCGCCAGTGTGTAAAATACATTTGTCTATCTTTATTCCAGGGAGCTTAGTGGGAAAAAACACGGTTTTAATTTCACCCCGTGAGGCAATGTAACTACTGTACCGAGGTAAGACAGTCATTGATTTCAGGGTTTTGTAGTAGCCAATGCAAGTTTTTTTTTTTTTTTTATCTGTATAGGGATGAAAGATATATTTGTGCATTTTTCATACTGTAGATCATAACTTTGTAAAGCCTACATCGTTTTAGTGTTTTAAAACACAAGTTTTAGTGTGTTTATTTATTTCTTATTAATTCATTTTGACTATTTATTGGTTATAAAACATATGACATATTATTAGTGTCAGCCAGATATTTAATATCAGTGAATCCTTACTTTTATATTTGTAAAAGATGATGTCAGTATGTGACTCCAGGCATTGTAATATATATTAATCAACTTTCTGATCCTCAGTTCAGTCAGCTGTTAGGATCACCCTAGGATTTCCATATGTCAGCTGGAAACGGGTCAGCCTCCCGCTTTGATCGGGTCAGAGATATGCCTCACTATGATCAGGTGCCCATCGGCTCACTGCCGTGGGGTCAGCAGGTTCCTTACCCTCTTGGTGGTGAAGTGGCAGAATCAAGCTATGACAGTTTACCACCACCTCCACTCCCCGAACACCCTCCTGTTGGGCCAGATTTCTACCCGAGTGATGTTGAAGACCAGGTGGATGATGCTATGGACATCAAACCCATCCGACGCTTTATTCCTGACTCTGTGAAGAATTTCTTCAGAGCCAGTGGCAACCAAGGCAGCAAGAAATGGACCTTTCCTCCACCACCACCTGATGTGAACACCACCTCCGAAGGCGTCCCGTGCTCCCCTCCACCGTCACCTACAGCCCCCAGCTCTTACCTAGACCCTTTTGGAGGGTCCGGAGGCAGCTACAATTCAAGGAAGGAGCAGGCGATGTTATTAGGGGAGCCACTGGAATCGGTTTCTGGACGCTCTTTGCAGACGGCTATGACTTATAGTGAGAAGGTGGAGGACTACAATCTGCGCTACGCGTACATGAAGTCCTGGGCCGGACTTTTGCGTATTTTGGGATGCGTGGAGTTGCTTTTGGGGGCTGCTGTTTTTGCTTGCGTCTGTGCATACGTGCACAAGGATAATGAGTGGTTTAATATGTTTGGTTATTCAATGCATCAGATGTATGGGGGAGCGTATGGAGGATCAACAATGGGTGGGATGTATGGAGGAACTGGGATTTCGTACTCAGGACCCTTGACTCCTTTTGTCATCGTGGTGGCTGGAGTGGCCTGGATAGTGACTGTCATTCTAGTAGTGTTAGGAATGACCATGTATTATCGTACCATTCTACTCGACTCCAGCTGGTGGCCAATCACGGAGTGTGTAATAAACTTGTCATTAGGATTGCTCTACTTGATAGGTGCAATTGTGTATGTGCGAGACACTGTCCGTGGAGGTCTCTGCTATTATCCACACTTCAACGCTGGGCCCAATGCAGGGTTTTGCCGAACGGAGGCTGGGCAGAACGCTGCCATCATCTTCCTCTTTTTCAACATGCTGTTGTATTTTGTGGGAGCAGGCGTGTGTCTAAAGCTGTGGAGACATGAAGCTGCAAGGATGCGCAGAGAAAGACTGGGACAAGATGTAAAGTTCAAATCATTCGTCCTTCGAAATAAAAAAATGAAATAACTCAAACTAAACTAATAAAGTTTAATTTTCTTGCTTTTCTGTTCTTATTTGTATTTAGATGAAATCAGCAGCACTACCACTTAATATGGTAAGCAGTTGAATTTTAAAGAAGAACGTTTTTTAGATTTTAAAAACTGTTGTTGTAATCTGCCATTTTTAATCTCAGATTGATGCTGGGTCAAGCGTCTCTGTGCCCATCCGAACTGCTCCAGTAATGGCCAATCCAGATTCATTTGATGGCACACCAGTCCCTCCAGTTATGATGGAACCAGAGATATTAAGGGGTCATATCCCTGCTGGCCACATCCCCAAACCTGTGGTCATTGCAGATTATGTGGCGTGAGTTTCAAAGAATACTTATCCTAAGTAATATTAATGAATTCAAGACATTTTATACAATATATAAACTGCAAACTGTTCGGAAACTAGCACACATATTTAGTAATGGTTATAGTTGCCTTGTGCTTTTTTTTTTTTTATTCATCACTTTTGTAATGATTATATCTGATATGACTATACCTGATACGTTCTGTTTTTTTTTCTCCTTACAGGAAATATCCCACAATCCGCACTGATGAGGAGAGGGAGCGATACAAGGCTGTGTTTAATGATCAGTATGCAGAGTATAAAGAGATTCATGCTGAGGTTCAGGTCTTAACGCAGAAGTTTGATGAAATGGATAATCTGATGAGGAATCTACCACAACAGCCGTCCAGCCAAATGGTAGCTAATCGTTTAAACAGCATTTTGCAAATTCTTACAATTATTATACACAAATTTTTGCAAACTTTAACAATTACCGGTAGTTTTTATGAGCTCATATTAATTGAGTAAATACATGGAATATTTGTACTTTTAAAAATTAATTTGTCATACCACATGACAATTCAAATTAATTAGTGAATGCACAAAGATGATTTAAAAATGATGAAAAACTGGTGACTGATCACAGTACCCAAAGACAATTCTGTATAACCCAAAATCTTGATGTTGATTTATTAAACTTTGTTTTCCTCCCATAGGAACAAGAGAGAATCAAAAGCGTTATTCAAGAGTATAAGAGAAAAAAGGCTGTAAGTATTATTTAACTTTTTAATATGTTCTACTTCTATCCATTTAAAAATGATAAACAGAATAAAGCGTAGGTATTTTCCTTTTTCCCCAAAGAAGGTTAATTATGATGACCTATGTTCTATAAGTTGCTTCAACCCATTTTAAACCCTTCATCCTCTGCCTGTTGGCTTTCTACATTCTTTAGTCATTGCAAAAGAATGACGGTTTCAACTGTTTGAGTTCCACAAACAGCTGAAACTGAAAAACTGGCAATGTTAGGGGGACGTAAATGGAGCTATTGACATGTTTACATACTTCCTGTCTGTGTGAGAGTGATCGGCAAATATTACTTTCCCTGTTTCTTGTTTTAGGATCCAACGTACCTGGAGAAAAAAGAGAGATGTGAATATCTGAAGAACAAACTTGCTCACATAAAGCAGAAAATTCAGGAGTATGACAAAGTTATGGACTGGAATGATGGTTACAGCTAAACAGAACTCCAATATTCTTTCAAAGTTTATCATGAACTTCACAGAGGTCCCCAGAAAAGAAGTGACTGGCAGAAACAAAACTGTCCATGACTATATCTTCAGGAATTTACAGAGTGTTTGGCTTGGTCTCGGTTGGTATTAAAATAATTTCATATTGAATTCAACAGAGCAAAGGAGTATAATGAAGGACATCTACAACTTAAAGCACAGCAATGAAGTTACATGAATCCGTCGAATGCAAGTTACTAAGTTACTGTCATGTCATGTGGAGCAACATTTAAATTGCAATCATATA